GATTACAAGCAACCGAACCCCTTTTTATATAAAGAAACAATTCAACACCACTTAACCATTTAATAAAGGTAAATCTAATAAATATGTTAGATCTCATCTATCGCTATGACCAGTGGGACATGAGGCAGAATCATGCAAGCCGTAGAAATAATAATAGACTCGATGACCCTAACTCATTACTAATATCAGTGGGGTATGAGGCAGAATCATGTAGGCCGTAATACAATAATAAGATCATGGGGCTAACATATCTTTCAACCTATCTTTACTTCAATGGTCTTGTGATGCGAACTGTTCATGAAAGTACTCGATATCGGCTAAAACAGTCGATTCAGGCATAACGCACAGCTAAGGTCATGCCTTATCAGGAATAGATCTATCAAATAATGATCCCCACTCCATGATGCTAATAGTGGGGTGTGAGGCAGAATCACACAGGCCGTGATAACAGACCATGGAACGGTTCTCGCTAGCCAATAAATCTACTCAAGACGCAACACGCCATAACCGCACGCTATGCACGATCAGGATCGATATAAAACAGTCGATAAAACATAACTCATCGCTTAAAGTGTAGATTAGATCAATTTAGATTTAGCAAATGATGGGCTAAACAAGATATAAGGTCGGTCTAGATCAATCCCAATCGGGCAGATTGATATTGCTGTAATTAGATAAATAATGAAAGAAATAAGCAATATCGGTAACTTAATGAATCTACCAAAGACTGTCATCCTAAGGTAGAGTCGATAACTTGACCTTGATCTAGTTCATGTAGTGAGGGTCGACTGGATCGATGCAGCCATACTTGAACTAGGCAAGAATCGATAACTAACTTATACCAGAGTCGCAGTGGAGGTCGACCGGATCGATGCAACCGTACGAATAGAGGTATAAGCCATGACGGTACTTACAACAAGCAGTGGAGGTCGACCGGATCGATGCAGCCATACTTACTGAAGAATTCACCGAGATCTACTCTACTCCTACTCCTAAGGAGTGGCCGGAGCCAAAAAAGTAAATAACTTGTATATTGAATTGATTGATGTCTTTTTACAATAGCCAGGGCTTGATATTTATACCGGGACCTACGCATGACTCCTGTCTAAGCTCGACTCATCATAATTTTTTACCCTAAAGAAAACATTCCTAATTTAAGATAATTTGGACTCTAATCTTTCCCTTTTTGTAGAGTCCAACATGTTTCGTCCTGGCGCCGAACGTAGCCTTTGTCGTTATCCGCTGGCGCTATCTGAAGAAAGCCGATTCCAGTTTTTGCATCCGAATCAGTTGGTTCCGATCTGCACGCAATTGATTCATTGATGACATGATCTTGTGAGCTTTCGGGTCCCTGCGACTCTTCTTCCAAATTCTGGTGTAAACACATGCCCCCAATTTTAGGATAAAAGTAATTTTATTCTAAAATTATCATGTCTGTATCCCTGATTGGTCCACAGTCATGGGTAGAGAACCTTGATCTGGGGCCCACTGTTTGTCACCGCTTGCGTCCACTCACGAGCCTATGCCTCAAAACTTTTTACAAGAGCGTCACTGCTTCACGGGCACTTGGATTCATCTTCCCGGGCCGGCTATAAAATGCCTATCCGACCCTAGCAAGAGCAACTCAACAATTCAGCCATGTTTTACTTCCATCTGCTCCCTCGAGCGCCTCTAGTTCCACCGGACCCTCCATGGTCCATTCTCTTGCCATGAAGATCTTGAGTGGTTAGAAGAATTCTTGTGCATAGGGTGATTGTGTCGCTCATTCTAGCACCTTGTCGAGCAAGAGGATCAGCTACTACGGCTAAAACGAAGTCTTGTGACATCACCTGTGTCTTCTCATCGTGCTCGCAGAGCGGTTCTAGTGTTTGCAAGGGCTAAAATGTGTGGACACCTTTCCCTTGTTTGTTCCACTAAATGCCCACCGGGAAAGCCACAGGCTTCTTTCCCATAGTTTCTCGCTTTACCGAGAAATCGGCTGAGCACATGTTAAGCGGGCGATTTCTTCTCTTCTCGGGCACAATTTTATCAACGGGCCAATATCGATTCGTTTCACGATGACCTTCGGCCTTGTGGGGGTCCGGACTCCCTTCAATCCAAAGAAGCCTTGATAGGTTGATCTCTGGTTAATGTAAAATCTTTGAATTAATTTCACGGCATTTTATAATTTGGGGAAGCAATAAGTTCGAATCTGTTATCTCTTCATTATCCGTCCCCTGAATTCCTGGAGCGTCGTTCCACCTCCGTTTCCCATTCCAAATTCACACCCTCGGTGAAATCTATCTTCTCGCCTTCCTAGGCTATATATATATGGGCTACGGCCGTGGATCGAACAACAACCCGCTTCGTCTCAAACTTTCTGCATCCTTAGTATAGCTTCTGCTTTTCCATAGGTTTGAGATCATGGAGAACAGCAAGAGGTCTACTGAGGAGGCCCTCATGGATTTGCATCATCGCGTCAGCACATCCACTGTCAAGAGGGTACAACTTGCGATGCTCCCATCGTCCCAGAGCAGAGGGCCGACTCTACTCAACCTTTGGGGTCATCCTCAGCACCAATTTGTCGCCACCTCCCCTGCTATCTGAGGAGGCCAAGAGATAACGATGACCTGATCGCTTCCATTGACCGGACCGGCAAGAAACTTGCCGACTGCATCTCTATTGCGGAGTCGGCTCTGGCTATAGTTCAAGGACGATCACCGCTTGAGGCCAACCCGGTGCGGGAGAGGCTGGCCAAGGCTAAAGCCAGAATTGCTGGTGAGACATTTACCATAACTTTATGCTTCTTCTTGAACTTTTATTTTCCAAGATCCTGCTCACCTCTTCTTCAAACCCTTTAGATCTATCGGCTCAACTAGAAAACCTCTGTTTGGCTACGGATCATGCGGCAGGATTCGTTAATGCTAGGGCGCTGTTCTGGTGGCTCGCTTGCATGACATCCCGAACCACGTCAGAGAAGTCGCTCTTCACGGCGTTCGTCATGGTGCTGCCATGGCGTTGGTTGCTGCATAAGTTCACCCCGGTCACGATCTTTGGCTTCATCTTCGTGGAGCTTTAGTCACCGGATACCCCGAGGATTACGAGCGACTGGTCGAAGTTTTCTTCGATGCCGCCAATTCTATAGCCCTGACCTCTCAGGACGATGATATAGTAAACAAAGTGTTTTCTGATCTGTAGCTTGTAATAAGTGATATCAGTCAACAACTCCTTCATCTCTAATGATTTTTACTTCATCCATCACTTTGCTCGTATTTGCCCTGCTCCTGCAGGCGATACACATTATACCGGCTTTTATCCTTCTAGGTTTATCTTCGCACTAGAAGCGATACCCTTCTGGTATCGGTTATTAGAGCTGACAGCCGAGCAATTTGGCTGTCAAGTGTTAATCCAAACGCCAGGGTAAAATTCCTTCAAATATTCCCCATTTGATTGCTCTGTCGAATCCTCTTCTCCTTTTAGTGTTTCCAAAATGTAAATATCACCAGGCACACAACGCTTGACCCGATAAGATTTCTCCCGATTATGTGACCATACTGGCTATCTTGCTTTTAGCTGTTAAGGGTAATCCATCCTCAGCTTTCTCTGGAGTCACATTGCCATTGACCGTCATAAGTACGTCTTTGAGAGCATCCCCAGATCAGCCGAAGAAGTTAAATAGATCACGAGAGATGATGCTATTCGGCTAGAAATATTGAGAGCGATCCATGATGTTCCAGACTTGAAATCTGCATGTCAATGCGTATCTAGTGTAGAATCGATCATACCCTCCGTTATTTAATTACGCTTCTTTTTTCGGCTAAAGAGCCGATTTGATACAGCCGATCCCAGACTTTTAATCCAATCAAGTCTGAAAACACGACTTTTATTAAGAGAACCCTTCGATTTCCTGCCTTCAGTTGCTCAACACGGCACTCCCATCGGCATTAGCGAAGTGGCGCTTCGCCTTAAATTAATTGTGGTTGCCTTTTACATGTCCCGAGGCGTCCGCCTCTTCGCTTCAGGTCCTCAAATACCAGCCGGTGGTTTCATCCTCGAACACATCTCCACTCGCAATTGTTCCCTTGCTCTTCTCCGCCTACCGAAACCCTGTAGCGGTTTTCCTTTTTCCTTTCGTAGATCTAATCATCCTTCATGGCCGGCGAAGACAACCGAGGCAAGCGCGCGACAGAGGAAATCCTGGAGGAGAATATGCCGATGAACTAGCGTTTCCGACGCATGAGGTGAGATTGACATTTCTTGTTTATGATGATGAACAGTTCTGACTCGCTTATAGGTTTGTTGTGAATGACAGTCTCCATCCTCTTCCTAGGGTCGGCGGGCATTTTGACGCCGCATCTTCTGTGCCGGTCTCATCATCGGATTCTTCCGACTCCTATAATGACGACGACGCCCGGCGCTACTTTCATGAGTGGAGGATGGATCAGAATCGCTATTCTGAGGCTACTTGGGAGAATGGCCAACTGGAGACTCGCCTTGGGGTCTCTTAGGCCGCCCTTCACGTGGCTGAGGAGGAGGCCAGTGCCGTCCGAGTGCGGCTGGCCGAGTCTAACGCCACGTCTGCTATTCCAAAAGAAACCTTTCATTGGTAAACTATGTTTTATTTATGACCCTTTTCTGGATCTTACGTTTTCTCGAGGTAGATTTTGATTTTCGAACAGGGGCCTTCAGATCACATAATTTTGTGTCCGGGTCCATGTCCTCAAAATCCACCTCCGGCACATCCTTGATCAAGTCGTCATCTACGATGGCCTCGTCATCACTAGCATCAAGAATCAATGGTTTAGTAACACCCGCATTCATATCTCCTTTTTTCGATTGTTTTGTGGGTGGTGTTACAATCGTTCTATCAACTTCTATTTTTTTAAAGCATTGATAGACAAAGTACACTCTGCACTGCTATTACCTAATTTGTAACCTAAGTTACTGAGATTTCTAACACAAGAAGCATTCGAAATAGGAATAAAGGAAATAGCCAGGCAGGAGCTGTGCATACCAGGCTGTCAAATCGACGGAGATGAAGGCGAATGCGGCACCACACTCTGTGCAGCCGCCGACTTCTTCTCCGGAGGGCTATCCAAATTTCGGATGGCAGCCCTTCGCATAGCTTTGCTTGTCATATCCTCGTCAGCTGTGGAAATTCCATCAGCAGATTGGATATTAGTACGTGTACTATGTCGTAGTCCTTCAGTTGAATTCAATAGCGATAATGAATTTTCATTTGTACCTGAAGGGGATTGTAACCCTGGACCATCATTAATATTAGCTGGAACATCTTTGCCCGGCTTGCTTGAAGCCGACGGACGCGGAGTCATCAACCTTGACATCAACAGATCGCCTGATTCTACAGGCTTAACTGTCTGCCTGATGGTCGGAGTAGAACTGCTGCTATGAGGTATCTCCGGTCTAACACTGCTATCAATTTCACACAGCATGGGATTAGGTGATATCGACCTGCTGTTTGTCCCAACCTTTGGCCTAGGCGAGGTTGGCATGGGTTGAGTAGGTGTCACCTTTTTGCTGAGCCTAGGCGAGTGTGACTGATCAGAAGGCAAAGTATGTGTCCCAGCCACTAATGATCGTTCTGTAGCTTCCGAACTGGGTTCAGTACTAGTACGTTCACCACTAGTAGCTTTCTCTGGTGGATGAAGACACTTTCCTGAACATGCATTGCCTTTGACATTCTTGGCCGGAGGGGTAACATACACAGCCGGTAGCTTAGCTATGTCATCTAGGCTTAGTAACTGGCTCAGGTTCTCTAGGCCTTTTTTCTCAAGCAGTGACATCGCAGTTGCCAATTGCATTGGCACAGGTCCACCTCCAGTATGGGCATTAGATGAAGATGACGTGTTCTCTATAGTTTTCCGCTTTTTCTGGGTCTGCCCACCATCACGCCCATGATTTGCATCATCTTTTCCAGGCGCATCCTCATCCCGATCAGAGTAATCTGGATTCGGTGGAGGAATTGCTGACTCAAAATTTGCCTCCTCCAAACTGAAAGTTACTTTATGTCCTACTTTTCCAAAAACCACATCGGTGGTAAAGGGTAAATACTCTCTGCTCATCATCCCCACCAGAATACGGATCACACCTTTTTTCCTATAAGTGAGCATATCAACCTCTAGAGTAGCACCAATAAGTGTGCCGAGTGCCCAAAAGCCAAGGTAATGGCGCCAAGGATGAGGGACTTTACTGACATGAACCCAAACTTCATCAAGATGATAAGCCGGAATAGAGTCACTAGCATCCTGCCACTCTGTGATTGTCAATGTGACCCCATGATTCTTCAAACAAAAATCAATATCGACTCTTCGTTTGAGTTCATCCTCAGATGGGAATTCCACCAGGAAAGAGTCATCCCCATGAGGAAACGCTTCCCAGTTCCAGTCTGCTGTGATGAATTTTGCAAGCTCTGTCTGAACTGTGGCTGCATCAATTTTCCCCCCGGTAACCTTTATCAAAGCAGTAGGAGAAGGTTTCGGGGTCTCCAATTTGTACTCAAAATCTGGTATGTGGAAAAAACCCAGCTCATTCTTAGTAAAACCTAGCATGGACGCTGTTGGTTTTGGAAGCTTAACGAGAGGGCACTTTGCTGAAATGTGGGCATTCTTCTTATTACAAATAAAACAATCTAGATCCGCCTTGAAACAATCTGCTAAATGCCCATTACACTTACACCTAAAACAATGAGGTGGTTTGACCTTTTTCGGCTTTGCAAGATCAGTGGAGGCCAAAGGCTGTGGATGCGAACCTGATGCCTCCGGCTTGTCTTGCTGCTTTATTGCCTCCACAGTAGCACCTCTAAAAAGGACACAACGGAGAACAGGTGACCTGTAGCCTTAAGCCAGTGCAGCTGTGAGTCACTCTAAAGCCTCCATTTGCTTCCACTATTAGAACTAGAATATTGACAGTACATGGAATACGTAAGTGAAGAGGAAGAGCAACGCATAAAGAAGGACTACCGACAGGCAAAGGTGAGCAACTATATACATGAAGCATCTAAACATGTGCCCAGATCTGGAAACTACTTTCAAGAACATCTTAGTCAGTTCATGAGGAGATGGAGCCCTCCTAGTGACATTTGCAGCATTAGAGGAGAGATTGCCATTCTGATAGTCTATAAAGGAGCTAGAAGGCTGACCCAACAGGGGAACTCAACTCGTAGAGGAAGAGAGAGGTACAAGCATCAAGCATGGTAAGTGAATGTCGCTGAATTCACTTGTTGCGATGATAACATGCAGATTTCTTTTTCTTCTTTTTTGGCCATAATCCTAGTGCTGGAAAGAGCTATGTAAAAACACTAATATTTGGTTTGCCCTTCATATAAAATAATAATTGCTTTCAGACATAACTCTTTTCTATCCCTATCGCACAGGCATATTTATATTAACCTAAGTACGTAGTACATCCTGTTCTGAATATATGTGAAATTGGCATTCTTTGTAATTCTATTATAAGTCCATCAGCAACTTCAAGCACCTTTTTTACTTTCTCTTTTAAGTTTTTTCCTTATTTAGCTAGATATGTTCCGGTCTGCATTCATAGGGGCAGGGTGTGCATGCATGTGCATGCGTTTATGAGCTTCTGAACTTGTACTGGTGTTTCGGAAAAAGATGTGTCTAACTAAGGGAGTATGGTAAAGATTATATTGATAGTAATTAGGGGCATTACACAACTCACTTTAATCCCCGTGCATGAGTCCAGATGGACTTATATCTGAAATCAAACCGAGAAGCATAGCCCCTTTCTAAAAATGTTTGATTGTTTTTTAAATAAAAAAAGTGAGCATTCACAAGATTTGGATATCTTTTAGCTATTTATGCCAGGAGATAATGCATGATAATTTTCCTCAGAAAAATGATAATAATATGATAAACAGTGTATATAGCACCAACTAGCAAACATCAGTTACAGTTAGATCGGCATCCTGCCTTACAACACAATCTTCTTGTTTCAAGGTGGGTTATCGCCGCATGGGGATTGTGGAGCAGAAATTGGGAAACATAATCGCAACCTCGGCAACCTTGCCCGATCAGCTGAGAGACCTATGGAAGAGCCCTAGGGGGACAGTGGTCCGTATCGAGGCACTGGCATTGCTGGCCATTGCCCTCTCCTTCTTCCTTGCTGCCTTTGGCTCCTGCCGCCGCTGGTCCGGTCACTGGATCGTCCAAAAGGGCGTCCTTGCTGCAAATGTGGTATCTCTGTCCCTGGGCACATACAGCATTGGCCTGATGCAATCTTCGCCGGTGAAGAGCGAGGTGTACCCCATCTGGGCTGTGTCCTTGCTCGCCCTCTTTGGCTGCATCGACTGGATCACAGCCTATGGCCTAGGGTACAAGAACCAACTCTGGAACATGCTATACCAGCTTTGTCTTTACTATGGGTATGTGTTGCTGATCAGCATCTCGACCATCTCCAGTGGTGTTGGTTACATAGCCATCATCATGCTATCCAGCATCACTCTCCTCAAGGGATTTCATAGGTCACTAGCACTTGTGCTGCCAAGCATACAGCGCGATATGATCCAAATGATTGAAGCGACTATGGCAGAGGAAGTTATAAATTATTCAACAAGATGTGATGATCCAGATCAACTAAGTTTTCCCGGGGACTTTATCGGGTACCGCTATGTGGTCCACTGGCCCCTTGACAAGAGCAAGGCAAAATTCCTACCAACTGTATCATCGCCTGACGATGTCATCACCATAGACAAGATACATGAGTGCAGTGAAGACCATTTCTTGAGCGATGTGTGCCTGTCCCTCTCTCTGTCCCACTTGTTGCAGCGGCGTTTCTATAGGCTGCAGTGTGCTGAATCAAGGCATTGGGTGGCTCACAAATTCGTATTGGAAGGGCTTCTAATGACCAGGGATGGGGCCATCGACTATACGAGGGTCTTTAAGGTGATTGAGGTTGAGTTGGCCTTTCTCTATGATACTTTTTTCACCAGTAAAGCATTTCTTTACTATTATGAATCAAAAGTTGCGACTATTTGGGCATTAGCTTCGATAATGGGAATATGTTTTGTTGGAGTAGCAGCTGTGATACCTGGGAGGAGTACCCACACTACTCATGGTGGCACCATCGTCGTTGACACCACCACAACAGACCTTACTATTACTCTAGCTATATTGGTGTCCCTGGCTTTGCTGCAATTTTTCCATTTGATACGCTGTTGGTCGTCGAATTGGGCCAGAGTTGCATTTGCCTGTGATTACATAAAGAATGGTAAGCAGCTAAGCTGTTGGATGAGGTTACGAAGATGGATTGTAGGAAGGACTGACTCTGACAAGAATTCTCTCTGGAAAAACAAGCTTGGGCAATATTCATTGATCGAATCGATCAACACGACGGAGTGCAACAAGCCACTTAGTGTGCTCGGGGGCTGTGGCTACCAAATATGTTCCCGTTTTCTAGGGATTCTTGGATTGCAGTACATTGAACAAGCAATCCAGGAAATGTGGGGCGTCAAGACAGGGGATGACATTGAGTTGCACGCTGATGTGAAGACAGCCATTGTTGATTTTCTTATAAAGAGTAAAGGTAAACTACATAATTGGCCATCCTCATGGGAAAGAAATGGATGGTCTGTTGATTCTAGATTTCTTTTTCTTCCTGACCATGCTGTCACTATTATGAGGTGGCATGTTGCGACGTGTTACTGTGAACTAGTGATGCACAAGGAGGGATTCGCTGTTCGGGATGAGGATGTTGAGGAGACTGTAAAGAAGAATCATGGAGTGGCCACCGCTCTATCAAAATATTGCGCCTATTTGATGGTTTCCGCGCCACGCCTACTCCATAGAAAAGAGCTAGGGACTAAATCTGTGTACAATGAAGTTACACATGCAGCGAGGATGTCTTTGCATGGGGTGAAGGACAAATTGGAGGCGATGAGGAGGTTAGCGCAAGATGATGAGTCAAGTGAGGGAGCCCGCATCTTCCAGCAGGGTGTGGCGTTTGGGAAGCGTCTGGAAGCAATGTCCAACCGTTGGGAGGTGCTAGCAGAATTCTGGCCCGGGGCGCTGGTCTATGCCGCTCCATCCGGCAATGTGCAGGAACATATGGAGTACCTCGCACATGGTGGCGAGTTCATCACCCACCTGTGGGCTTTGCTGTCTCACGCCGGCATTCTAAAGTGTAGAGGTAATAGTTATGTCTAACTCTGCAAGCGTCCTGCGTATATGTTCTTGTTACTTTGCATCACCTTTAGTCATCTTCATCCATACAAGAAATGCATGTAATGTTGCTATGCTCCAGAGATGAATTCCAATTTACTCATGCGATCTTCCGAGCTAGGAGCATGGACGACCATTGTGTTAGTTGTAAATGCTCTCAAGATGAAGAATTCAGATCTATATCTGTTAGGTTGTTCCCATGGATCATTTTACTTCGTTGTTGCAATGTAAATATAGTTTGCCTTACAGGTTTGCCATTGGCCATGCATAGATTCACAGTTCCCCTTATATATCCAGGTTCAGTTGAAATAGCAATAATCTATATGCATGGTTGCAACAGGTGGATCGACAGGTTATGATGAATCACCAGTTGTAGCAGGATCAGAAGATGACAGTGAATCAGCAGATGCATCAGATGGATCAGAGGCTGACAGCGAACCAACAGATGACACTGAATCAGCAGATGCATCAGGTCGATTAACAGCTGACCCCGAACCAGCAGATGGAGGTGGCTCCTCTAAAGATTAGGCGGCGGTGAAGTTGCTGATGTATGACTGCTGTATGAATTTGTGTAACAGCAGTTCTTCTGAATGAGAGAGAGCCTGGACTCGTGTAGCAATGCCTTATATTTCCTTTGATGGTCTGATAGAGCAGTGTGATTTTATTTTCTAAGTCCAGTTTAGAGTTCATGTATTGTTGTCCTATAAAAAATAAACACTAATCAGGGTCAAAAATAAACTCGATCCTTTCCCCTAATTAAGTTATGGAGTGTATTTGTAAACTTATATGGCTATTTGAAAGCCAACATCAATGAAATCAATCAGGTGGGGGATTCTCCCTCCCCCCTGCCCGTAGACCTGTCCAAAAAAAATTAAGTTATGGACAAACATAACATCAAGTTGAGAAACTGTAAACCTTTTTATTAACACTACATCAGGACTTTGTTATTCCTTCCCCAGACCCCACTTCCTTCTCTTTTTACATGAGGACTTTGTTATGGACAACCATAGTGGAACAGAGGAGGTACATTGATAAACTGCAATCTTTATTATTAAAGCTCTCTCCATTTCAAAATTCATGGCATGGTTTTCAAATTACACTTTGGTCAGTAAGTTCTCTTAATAAGAAAATAATATTCATAACAAACAAATTGTGACAGTAGGAAAGTACTTTTTATTAGGAATCCAGTGGGACTATTTTTTATCACATAAACCTTCGCACTCGCACAGGTTTGGCTGGGTTTTGGACCAAGTCCATGATAGGCTTAACCATGATATTGTTACACTAGCTTGTAACACATTCATCAATGTGCTCCTAAGAATTTCATAGTAACACAAAACTATGTGTTACATACTTGGGTTGTAACACAAAATACGTTTTTTTATAAAAATGTGTTACTGGCAACGATTATAGTAACACAAAAGTTAATGTTACAAGTGAAATGTTACAAAAGTGGTACTATATTGTAACACATAAATGAAACACATAAAATGTGTGACAAGTATATTCCCTATAGTAACACAACATAATGTTACAATCAAAGTGTTACGGAGAAACATATACATGTGGATCATCATCCAATTCACAATTGGCAAAAGGCATTGCACTAGTGTCGTTCTAGCTAATAGACAATTGTACCGAGGTCCTCACATGACACCGGAGCAGGAGTGAGTAGACGATTGAAAAGGTCGTGTAGATGTCGGAGCCTATTATGTGTATTGGGCCAAGCTGAAGATAGTGTAGATGGAGCAAGATCACGAGAGGAACATGTACACTTAAGAAGAAAATCTAAAAAAAGTAAAATTATATGGAGCTATCACTAGAGGAACATGTACACTGAAGAAGAAAATCTGAAAACAAAAAAGTACATAAAATTAGATGGAGCAAAATCATGAGAGCAACATGTACACCGAGGAACATGTTGGTCAAACCTTCTATGAGGAATATGTAAGAGATATTGCATCTGTTTAGAATATGGGTGCAAATAGGAAGTACTATTGCATCGGATTGATAATGCTAAACTCTAATGCAATAGGTGACTGCTATTATATAGGTTTAGGTTTAGTGATTCGATGCATCACATGGTCACTATTGCATCAAAAGTTTTACGTTACAAGAGGCTGAAACATATAGTTGGGCCACAAGTATCAGTAGTAGACCACCAAGGACTTTCAGTAATATTATTAGCTATTCTAGACAGGGAATCGTACAAACATCTAGGAGACCACCAAGGAGTTCAAGACACAACTAAACATCGCAGATAGCATTCAATGTTGATGGGGAAATGAATCAATAAGTGGTTTGTGTCAATATAAATTGGGCAAATATCACATCACAGCTCGTTAAAAAAAGAAAGAAGCAATAAACTACCAGCATTGACAGTGCACTGTTTATCTTGAGCTTTGATCTGTGATAGCGAGCTGCAAAAAGCACCATCTCATAATAATAACAATTATCAAGCTACCTCTTGTAGTAACATGTCTAGAAAAAAATTCCTTTCCTGGCCTCTCATTAATTGTCCCCGAAGAAACATATTATTTACAAAGAAAAAGACAGAAGTTAATCAACTTATAACATAGACTGCCAAGAGCCACTAGTTAACATAGTGGAAGGTTTATTCAACACCAAACACCGAGTAGCTAGTGATCCCATATACATAAACAGATGGCTGCAGCTGGTAGGCACTAAAGTTGTTGTATCACTTCTTGAGACTATGCATCCTTGCTGAAACTGTAAAATGAAAAGTTTATTAGGAAGTCGCATAGGGCTAAAGATATTTAGGAAACGAGAAGAGTTGACCAAAGGAAACTCAGTTAGATCACTCTTGCAGCAAAAATTCAACTTGTAAGATGCAATCATAAATATATTATGTATATGCAGGGAGCAAGATTAAAATTGTTTACGGAAAGGGCCCTACCAGCTTCATTAGATTATGTATAAGAGAATCTAATGAACACAGCACACTGAGGAAAAGAAGTCAGATAAACACTTTAGCCCTTATAGTTGCCAATCCCATTTAGGTTAACTGGATACATATTTTAGCTGCATATATGTCCTTCTCTCTACAAAAGAAAGGCATATGTGTAAATCGATTTTAAGCTTTATAATTCACAATTAACAGTACTGATTTTTTATATGAGCAGTGGACAGTCCATTCAACAATCACTACCAGGATCGAGAGAGCCAAAAAATGTTATCAAAATTATGTCTACCAGACTGGACAAGAACTTACAGTATCCTTGTTAATACATTAGTTTAAAGCTACATAGGACAGCCCACATCTCTGAGCGTATCATATGCTAACATGCCTGTCATTTGTGTATCAAAGACAACAAAAAAAAATTGATGATATTCAGAACTTCTCTTTCCATTGATGCTTGATATTTTCATGTTGTCATCTTGTATTCCAGAAGTGAACATGGTTTCTCTCAATAGTTTTCAGCTTAGTTCAGCAGACCTAAGAATGAGTACTTGACCTTTTGTAATGACCTTAAATAACTGATCAGTATCACAACTAAAATCTAATAATTCAGTATAGTATTGGTTTGTGCTTTCACTTGCAGATGGCTTATAAATTCAGTGAAGCAATTTAGGCAGACCAAAGGACCACACATAAATCATGATTGATTCAGTTCCAGGGTGTACATTTATCAAGTATGGTGAAATTTCAGACCTGCAACTCGTGGTCAAAACCACTGCTGAACACAAAGCTGGCAGTAAAAGATGTAAGATTCCAAGGTTCTAATATGAGAAACCCACTGCATGCATTCACACAAGAGATAAGAGATAAGATTGAAAAGTCACTGCAGTAGTTATTTGTACTAGCTTACATGCAGGAGCATATACTATAGCCATATAGCAAGAACTCTGATACGATAGTCAAATTCTTATAACACTATTTCATTATCAGTATTAACAGTAGGATCTCTTCGACAAAAACCAGGTGAAGCGTGAGCTCCTACTCTCCAGAACACAGCAGACCAGTATATATATTCACTAAGCAAAGATGTCAATTTCACCAATCTGAATTTTGAGAAGGTATGCTAGGACTACAAAATGACTGAGTTGTAGTACTACTAAATCAAAGAAGTGACTGTGAGTACATGCTAGCTACCAAATACACTTCCCTAAGAGATTCTACGCATACGTGGATGCAAGAGCCCAGCATCAGGCCAACCAAACAGACCCTTTGCTGTTCTCATTTCTCAAACACTTAGGATATGTTATATGTACACAAGCTAGCTACATGTAACGATCATGGTGCATATACGCCCTGTTCGTTTGGGCTTGTTTGGCTTATAAGCCGAACTTTTTCAGCCAACGAACAGTATTTTTCTCTCACACCAAATCAGCCAATAGTACTTTCAGCCATGGCTTATCAGCCAAACAAGCCCAAACGAACAGGGCGTATATGCACCATGATCGTTACACACAGCTAACCTTCCACTAACTCCGGCCAGCCGGTGGTGTGCAGATCAAGTGAGCAGACTTGCCTGCTGCTCTGTTATTTCACTGAGAACTAGGAACCTACCAGTAGCATTCTTAATTGTATTACCACTGATTTGCATATGTACCTAAAGCGTTGAAAATGATATATCCCTACATATGCTCGATAGAACCAGCAGTGAGCAGTGATAGCTGCACGAAAAACTATGCTCGTTGGTCTGAGGACCCTTAGTGAGAAGAACAAAATAAGTTGTGAAATGAAGAAGACAACACATACAGCGGGTACAAAGAGTTATGCTCGTTGGTCTGAGGACATGGTGAGTCGTCTTTTGTTTAAAACAATTATATATGATTCTTTTTACTTTTCCTTTACTGCTATTTTTTCAGAGGCAAGCTGATCCTTAAAAAAACAGCCACATAGAGCAAAGGTTTACCTAGCAACTCACAGGAAAAAGGGAAAAAGGGAAAAGGGATAAATGAACCAGTGGTATGCTACATGCACATGGGAATTTTTGCAAATATAAAATTGTTTTTGCTTTCTAATGTGTCGAAGAACAGGATGAGTACTAGGGTTGATATAATATAAGAGCATGACACAAAAGTGAGCTACTGAAGGAGTGAAGGATTAATTTGTTCAGTCAACCTGATATCATTGATTGAAACATTTGTTCTAACCTGACATCAGCCTCTGGAAAACAAAGTGCATTTTCGGATCTTCTAACCTTTTTTGGCCGACATGATATTAGAAAGTATATTTGTTCTAACCTGATACCAGAAAGTACAATTGTTCTAACCGCATATCAGAATCTGAAAGTAAAATGAGCCATATTGCGAAGAAAGCAAAACTGAAAATGCAATAGCAGGACATTTGATTGAGAAATTTTTTAGACCAATACAAGGATTCAAACCTTTGGGGTGCCTACTGCCGGTCAAGCTGTGGAGCCGCACGCATCAGGTGGCGTGAGCCCCTGCAGAAGCAGCCATGTGAGGGCCGTCGCGTGAGCGAGACCCCCTGCACGTAGGACTCCGGCATCCAAGGCTGTCGGCAGGTCGGCGGAGCAAGTAGCCGGCTCGGATAGGAG